CAAAAGAATATGTATTCTAAGCAATAGGACAAAAACAGGGATAATCAAATCCATGTGAGCTGATGGGAGGCTGGCTAAAGAATGCATTTTTTAAAAGACAAACATATCTGAAAACAAAATGAAGACAAAAGGTAAAGTCAAGAAACACTGATATAGAACAGGATTATAAAATTGGATTGGCATCAAGCTCCAGGAGTTGATTATTGGAATTAAGTCATTTGGTGGACGAGCACACAACTCTTCATATACCTATTGTAGGAAAATGAACTTAACAATAAATGCTTATGAAGAGAGGAGGAAAATGCTAGGAATAGCACACCTGTCCCAGACCGTGTGGATTTGAATCTTGCTTCCACAGTGTCTGGATCAAACAGACTCAAAGACTTTCATGTCCTTCAACCAACGACTGCTTTCAAATCTCTTCGGTTACAACTTCTGGAGTCATTCACACTCATCTCCTATTCTTTTGTGATTCCACAAGGATGACCTACAAGCTCTCAGATTCCAACAAGGTGTGAAGACTGCCATCAATCACTTCATCAATCTGTGTCTGAAGCCTCATAGACCTACCTCTATCCGAACTATTTTAACTGTTAAGTTGTGGCTCTGGAGGTTGAGTGCCTCTTTTTCTTGTGTTGGCTGAGGAGAAATGCAATGGCACAAAAGGTCTCCTGAAGATGCAAAACCAAGATAATAATACCCTGCGTGCCATGGGAGTGAAATGGCCCTGGAAAGAACCTGAACCAAAGCCCTTTTGGATCTACATATCCTGATTTCTGCCCATTCAGATCCTCATTTCTGGAACTTCCTTTGAACTACTTCCTAGATGAAGGTGTAAAGCTCATCGCTAAAAGAGAACATATGACTATCCCCTGCAAGCCGTCAAGCTACCAAGCTAAGCCAGTCAAAAAACATTTCTTGCTACTCATCCTTAAGTACAACTCGGAGGCCCCAAAGCCCAGAAGCTACAAGCTACTTGACTTGGCCTGGCCTTGGGGGCTTCAGACTGAGCCTGTCTCTACCATGAAATAGCTTTTTAACCACCACCAGAAGTCCCTCCTAAGCCTTGGACTAAACGAAAAGAAAAAGCTTTCTAGGAGAGAGGAAGGAGGATGTTTTCTAGGTAGGAAAGGTTTAAGGGACACATCCAGATTGGATTTGAAAGATGGTTCCTAAGATAATCAACCTCTTGAAGAGGGACCTGACTTAGAAGATAAACTTTGAAGGCATGAATTCTTCCTATTTATAGCTCCCATGTTGGAGGTTTATTTTTTATTTATGTAATTCAGGATGAGTGTATATTCCAAGAAAATCTCAATCCTTACACACTTTTTTCTTTTAGCAAAAAGATGCAGAAATAAGACAAAAAAAGGAATTGGGAAGTTTTTATGAAAAGTGAAACCTGCTGGGAGCTAGTGGCTCCCATCTGTAATCATAGCTACTCAGGAGGTTGAGATCTGAAGATACTGGTCCAAGTCCAAGCAGAAAAGTCTGTTATCTCAATTCCAACTGACCAGAAAAAGCTGGAAGCAGAGATGTGGTGGAATGCCAGCCTTGTAACAAAGCCAATAAGAGTGCAAGGCCCTGAGTTTATACCCTAGAACAAGCACAAAAAGAAAAAAAAGAGTGAAACTACGTAACTACACATTCAAGGGGGATTGTGGGTTTTCTTAGTGAGATGGCTCCACCTTTCTAATCTTTATCTTCTAGCTCTTAAGATGCACTGGTGCTGAATGGTTTTATGTGCATATTAAGTATATACAGTGTTATAACAGTAGTTGATACTAACCTTTTTCTCTCAAATGGAGTGCTCCAACTTTAATTTAATTTAATTTAATTTAATTTAATTCTTAAATTATCTTGAGTCTTAAAGAGTACATTTGGAAAACAAACTTATACTTCAGTACTAATTCACAGCAAATAAAAACCTACTATGCACATGATCTATGATTACCACAGTAAATCCTAACAAGTTTATCTAATTTTACTAACACATTTAATCATTAAAATTACAAATTAAAAGTATTTGTTCTGACAAGACACATGCATGCAACTGTAACAATATTTAAAATTGTTTCTGTCAATAATTTTCACTGAAATTCAAACAACACAATATACAGCTACTGTTAACTATAAATGAATTGGCAAGATTTATACTACAACTACGTTAAAAATCAAAGTGACAAGTAAAATACTTTACACTTTCTAACATAACTAATGCATCTACAAAAGCAACAAAGTAATCAGAAAGACAAAATCTTATTCATTATTAAAATACAAAGACCAATATGGTTTGGTTCCAAGGAGTTTAAAACTACAAGAAATTCAACCCTTTGTCCTGTAGCCACAGGTTATAGATGAAGTAATAAAGTGCTATCTGTCTGTCTGTCAATCAATGGGGATTTAACTCAGGCCCTCAAGTGCTCTACCACCTTGCAAGTCTTTTTTACTTTCAGTTTGATTTTAAGATAGGGTACACAAAACTAGGCACTGTAGCATAGGCCTATAATCCTAACTACTCAGGAGGCTTAGAAATAAGGATCACTGTCCAAAGCCAGCTTCTGTTCATGCTGGCCTAAAACTGTGACCCTCCTTTCTCTGGTTAGCTAGGATCACAGATATGTACCACTATGCCTGACTAGTTTTTGAGAGAGCAATTTAGTAACGAACCACAATCTTGCTCCCTTGTCCCAAATAGCTGGAACCAACCTCTTCATGTGCTATTTAATCCACCCTTAAAATGCTTTGTTATAACTAATACATACCACAAAGACGAATTCTGTTCTCTGCTTAAAATAATAAAATATCACTTTAGGCAGTGTGAATTATGCTAGCTTTAATCAGCAAATGGGCAATATGACAAGTTCTGACTAAATGGCAATGGGGCTTTTTTTTTGAGCTCCAAAATAAGTTTCTGAAACACAGATTAATCATTATTACTATAAAAATATAAACACTCATTTTTCTATATTGCATATTACAAATGTTTAAAAACTGGAACTTTGTTAAAGTTCTTTTCATCATGGAGCACAGCAAATCAAACACATAATTATTAGAGCATATCAGATTTATCCATCCATTTATTTCATTTAATATTTTTCTTTTATGACTATTTTTGCTATATACCTTGAAATATACTGATAAATAAAACATTCACGGGCTGGGAAGTTGGCTCAGTGTTAGAGTGCTTGCCTCGCATGCATAAGGCCCTGGGTTTGATTCCTCAGCACCACTTAAGCAGAAAAAAGCTGGAAGTGGCACTGTGGCTCCAGTGGTAGAGCACTAGCCTTCAGCTGAAGAGCTGAGGGGACAGCGCCCAGGCCCAGAGTTCAGGCCCCACGACCGGACCTCGCCACCTCCCCCCCAAAAAAAATTCATATCCCTTCTCTTTACAAAATGAATGGAAGCTACAGCTCATTAATTAAACAAAGATGTACAAATTGATTAGGTAAAATCAAACAGTAGCTACAAATATATGTAAATAGGATACAAATTAAGAAGTAACCAAGTAAAATAAAATAATTAGGAGACAAGAAAGGCCATTTTAAAGGGTAACACCAAACTCAGAAAGCCAGCCATGGGTAGCACATCCCAAAAGTACACATAAGCTGGTGAACTTTGAAGCAGGAAGAAACAAGCTAATCCAATAGAAGCACCTAGTGTGATAGTGTAGTACTGTGACACATGGATGAGAGGTCATATCATGCAGATGGTCTTGCAAACAGACTTAGGAGTTTGGATTTTCTTTAGGAATAATAAGAAAACCTACAAGTTGAAAATAACTTTTATTTTCCCGTCATGGCTGTGGGTGGAAATAGACTGAAGGCAAGATAGTAAGATGGAATAGTGAAACTGGGTGAGAAACTACCATAATACTCTACAATAAAAATGATGGCAGCCTAGGCAGAGATGAAGCAAGTCTGATTAGAGGTATTTTTAGACAGAAATGAAAGGCTTTTAAGAAACTAGATATTGAGAATGAAGGAAAATGATACCCTTGTTTCAATCTTAGTCAATAATATAAATAGTACTACCTGAAAGAAAGAAGACAGGGGAAAACAGCAATAGTAATAGACAGCAATTAACTTGTTTTGGATGCTTAAAATATAAACCTATCTGCTCAACTATCCAAGAAGAAATGCCAAAGATGATAAAACTGGAGACAGAACAGTTTAAGAAACATAAAGTAAGAAAAACTTGAGAATACAGAGATTATAAAAACTGATCATATAACTTTGTAATTTTTACATTTGGTGTGCATGCAATTTGAACTTGCCTAATGGAGATGTAGATTTAGACTCCATCACCCTCCCGAAAGGTTCTGGATTTCTATGCTCTGGGAAGGGCAGAAGATTCTACTTTTTTAAGTTCATGGATGATTCTGATGCAACTGACCTAATATTCCATTCTGAGAGTTTTTCATCTCTAGAATTCATACAACAGAAGAAATAAAGTTGGACAACTAACAATCACAAAATACAAACATTTAAGTCTTAGTTGAGGAGCATCTGCAAAGGACATTGACCAGGAAAAACAGAAAACAGGACAGGTGCGTATATTCCAAAATCCAAGTGAAAGAAGAGAAAAAAGTAAGGTAGAGAGAGTAAGTAAACAATATGCATAAAGATGAAACTCAAGGACTTCCTTCAGAGGAAGAAACAGGCACAATCTAGAATACTTTATGTTGTGATGAGAAAATGAGAAAAATGATGACAACCTTGGGGAAAAACAGGGGAATATGAGGAAGCTTAGAATCCTTTTATAGTCCATTTTGATAGTCTAGGCCTGTAATGTCTGACAAAGTCACTAATAAATTGTATTATTTTACACAATTAAGCTTTTTTTTTAATGCCATAAACATCCCAAGTATGCTCATATTGAACTTTTCACTGTGTACTACAAAATCTTCCCCCCAAAACCAGATAACCAAAATTTTGAATGTTTTCTCTTTCCACAAAAAATCTATAACCACTTCATCCCTAGCTCTTAGTATTATTTACCCTTGCAAGATCCTCTATTTCAGAACTGAAGTTTGTTTCTCCTTCCATCATTTCTTCCTCTTCTAATGTTCGTTCATCATCAAAATCATGAACCAGCATGTCAGCTGATGGATCAAATTCATGGTCATCTGATGTTGCTGAACCTCCTGGTAAAGAATATTTTAAAAAGTAGGGTAAACCAAATTAAGTGTATCTTATTAATATTAATTTAGTGTATATGCATTATTTATCTGAGGCTGGTTTAAATAAAAAGTACCAGGAAAAAGCTATGCAAAGTATATACTATTTTTTGTTTTTTAAAATTCTTGCTCCTACATATCATCACCTGAAAATAACTTACTTGAGGAATTAGAGCTTAGTGTCTTATGATGATTATATAATCACCCAATAAAATATTTCTCAGAAAGTATCCCTGTTGTTAAATGATGTGCCTATAAAAATTTTTGTAAAAACAAAGACAAATTCAAATATTCTATGGCTACAAGTCAGTAATCTAAGATAACTGATAAACCAATCCATTTTTATTCTGGTGATTGGAAACATTGCCAGATTCAAGAGTCAATCTTTGTAATACTAGACTGTAAAGGCTGGGAATATATATTTTATAAACCATTTCCACATTTGAGTAATGCCAAACCTAGACACAAGTTTGCAAACACAATTATTAACAAACACATGAGTTACTTAACATTGAAAGACTTGAGTGCTATATTAACATATGTACTAATCCTTTCACTTTCTTCTATGTACAAGAACTAATAAGGAAAACAAAAAGACACTAGGAGTTTTGTTGTTGTTTTTTTTAACCCAGGATAAAGTAAAACCAATGGCTCAGGTTTCTTCAGCCACCTTTCATAGTCTTTGGAGTAGAAACTATAATTTGTTTACTATGTACCAAAAACTATGATCAAGCACCTTACATGCATTATCTCAATTAATCTTCAAATAATTGTAATAGTAGGTATTACGTCATTTAAGAAGGGAAAAAAGTAGCCAAGTATGGTGATCCATGTCAATAACCTCATTTACTTAGGAAGTAGAGATTTCAGGATCATGGTTTGAGGCCAGTCCAGACATAAATGTCAGAAAGACACCATCACCAAAACTGACCCATATTTGGTAGTGTACAATTGTAATATCAGCTTCGGAAGAGAATAATGGTCCAAGGCTGGCTTAGCAAAAAGCATGAGACCCTATCTGAAAAATGCTGCAAAGCAAAAACCAGGGCTGTGACTCAAATAAGACTTGTCTAGCAAATTCAGGTCATTTCAAGCCCTAACACTACAACACAAGATTTAAGGTTTGTAGAGTATAAGCAGAACCTTTCCATTCATCAAGTATTAGGCATTAAAGAAGAAATCTGACTTCTGGGATGAATTCAACTTCTCTAAGTCCTCTTAGTATCCTAACCTCAAAAGAAAACTTGAGGAGGACCTCTGTTTACTAAGATGAGTGAATTGTAACACAGGTCAGATGGCAAAGCACTTAGAAAATGCTATGCTCTTTGAGAGGCATAAAACAATTGATACTAACAAATTAGATCTTTCTAGATTACAGTAAAACAGAATTAACAATAAAGTTCTTAAATGTTTTAAAAAAGAATTTAGAAAAGTACAATGTCTTAATTTCTCCCAAAGTCAGAAATTAGCATGATTTCCATAGGTTACCCTTGTCATGGCTAAAGGACTAAACACAAGGGTTCCACAGGAGCACAATTTGAGCAACACTAATTGGGTATACTTTTTAGTTTCAATTGTCTACATCTGTATTTTCAAGGGAAATTTTGTCTGAAACTTTTTGGTAACCCTGGGAATCCTGGCTAGAGATGTACTAAGAGCATGGCCTTGGTTTTAATTCCCAGACCTACAAAAACCTAAAGCCTCCATACCAAAAATCTATCCAAAAATCTTCTGGGACACTAAACAGTCAGTAATTAATATTAAGAATGATGCTATATAATTTTCTTCTCCCCTGTAGGCAAAGATATCTTTTCCCCCTCAAAACCTCATACCTTCTTTACATGAAATTATCCAAATATACAATTCTTTTTAGTTGTTGGTGTTAGTTATGGGGCTTGAACTCAGAGCCTGGGCATTGCCTCTGAGGTTTTTTTGCTCAAGGCTAGTGCTCTAACACTTAAGAGCCACAGTGCTACTTTCTGGTTTTCTGGCAATTAATGATATACAAGAGTCTCATGCACTTCCCTGCCTGGGCTGGCTTTGAACTGTGATGCTCAGATCTCAGCTTACCAAGTAGCTAGGATTATAGGCATGAGCCACCAGTGCCTGGCCTAATATACAATTCTTAATAAACACAGATATTGCCAAAAGTAATTATGATGAATTCCTATTTAATGTAATCTTTTTTTTTTCTTTTGTAGTACTGAGGTCTGAATTGAGGTAACATTTGCTATTGACACCTGCTTTAACCTCTTGCTTCACAGTAGACACAGGGTATTTGCAAGCACAGGTTTCTAAGGAGAACATTACTGAGGAAAAATCACCAGTACTCAAGATGCAGAGATCAGTAATGGACTGCAGAGTGCATTTTCCTTTTCTCTATAAGGCTATACAACTTCTACTAAAGACATGCCTCCTCTCAACAAATGTAAACATTTACTTTGTCACTTTTTATCTTAACTGTTACCTTGTACTTGGGACAGCATTTGCTTTTTGGGAGACATTTTCATAAAACTAAGGGTAGCGAAACAATCAGCAGACCACAATTAGATCACTGAGCTAAATCGTCATGATGTAAACACAATGATTATAATGGGGGACCAGATGAGATCTTCTCTGCATCACTGAGCCACATAATGAATGCACAGAATTAAAACACTTTTTTTGGTAAAAACTTTGTGTAGTAAGTCCAAGAATAAGTTAAGCATAGTGCAGAGATAAGTTTTCTCATGCTTTTTGTCCAGGACTGAAATCTTTCTAACTTCTACCTTGTAGCTGGGATTACAGATATATACCATCATGTTTGGCTATTTATTTTTACAATATATCATGTGAACTCATTTAATGACTTTAAAATTTTCTTCCCTTCTCTTAATCCCCAAACCTAATGGCTATTTTCTTACTCTGCTGTAGTTTATAGACAAACTACTCATGATTATGTAACTATAATTACTAGCATTGGTTCCAAAGTATACATTTGCAAGATCTTGCTGACTTTGATTACCCAGGCTAGTCTTGAACTACAATCCTCCAATCTTTGCCTCCTAATGGGATTTCATGCAATAAGCTACACTCACCTGTCCTTACAATTATACTCTTTATCAATTAAGAAAAAAATCAAGCTTGTGAGTAGATAGCTTCATATATAGTATTATTTGCCTAGCTAAAGTCCCTCATTTTTTTTTCACTATTTATAAAGACAATTATATTTAGACTCTCCACTTTAAAGCCAAGCACTAGTGACTCAATACCTGTAATCTTAGCTACTCAAAAAGCTGAGATCTGAGCACTGAAGTTCAAAGTCAGCCAGGATATACAAATCTGGAAGATTTATCTCTATTTAATCAGCACAAAAGCCAAAGTGGAGGTATGGGCTTAAGTAGTAGAGCTCAAGCCATGAGTGAAAAAAGCCAAGCAAAAAGTGCAAGGCTCTGAGCTCAAGCCTTGGGGGTAAAGGCAGGGAAAGGGGAACATAACACTTTATTCCCCAACTATATTCACTATCAAAGTGCAATTTAATGTCTCCCTTCTTATTCCAATTTCTTTGTCATACATACATTATATCTTTACCTATAAGCTTTCACTTTTCTTAAACTGACCTTTTTATTTCATCTGACATTTTATTACATTGTTCTATTAGTCTCTGTCAATTGCCAGGTCCATTGTTAGCTAGGCTGTTTCCCAGGGGAGAGTTACAATAGTAAGTTTTTAAGGGTAGGACGTCTAGTACTTTGTATAAATATTTTCCTTAAGAATTGAGGCAAAGACCACTACTTTGTTATAAAATTCCATAGTGTAGGATTACTAAAATATATCCTATCTTTTCAAAGATTCAAAAATAAATTTATTTTATGTATCATATTCACTCATTTAATGACTTTAAATTTTTTTCTTCCCTTCTCTTAATCCCCTAACCTAATGGTTATAGTCTTATTCTGCTGTAGTCACAGACAAACGATTCATGATCACGTAATTATTACTAGCATTGGTTCCAAAGTATATATCTACAATGGGCAAAACTTTTTATAAGTGCACAAAAAATTATTTTTACATGAAGCTGGAATTACTAATGTTTTTCATAAATTTCATAATTACTTACAACCCGTATTACTTATGAGAAAAACATTCCTTTGGGCCAGAAGTTCAGGACAACAAAAAACTACCTCAAAATATGTTTCTCAGCCTGAAAACTATATTAAAAAAAAAAAAAGGCCGGGTACCTGTGAGTGGCTCACATCTATAATCCTAGCTACTTAAGAGGCTGATATGAGGACCATGGTTTAAAACCAGCGGGGGCAGAAAAGTCGGTGAAACTCTTATCTCCAATAGACCATTCAGAGAGCCAGATGTGGTCCTGTGGCTTAAGTTGTAGAGCACTCACCTTGAGCACAAAGTGGCTCAGGGACAGCGCTGAGGCCCAGAGTTCAAGCCCCAGGACCAGCACCAAAAAAAAAAAAAAAGGTAATACATTGTAAATATTCAATACATAGCAAAAGCTTCTAAAGACATTTGCATTCTTCTGACTCCATTATTCTTCCAGTATTGCCTATGCTAATGGTAACTAAGAAACCCATTTATTACCATTTTAGAATAATTAATTTTATATACTTGCTGACAAAATGACTTAAAAATTCATAAAACTACCTATATTTGCAATATATTAATGAATACTAGAATCTTTTTTAATTCTACATTCTAAAAAGGATATGGTGCTATAACAGGGGTTAAATTACTTCCAACATCAACCATCCAGAATATACTTTCAAACCAGAAGTTAGAAAGAATGTTAAGTTTCAGACACTGAGTTTCCGAAATGTCACAAAGCTTAAATATACTTTACTCTTAGGTGTATTATAAAAGGGCTTTTTTTCAGGTGGAATAAAAATAAAATTTAGTGTAAAGTTAACATGTTTTTTAGGTGGGAGGGTGGTGTGTGTGTGTGTGTGTATGTGTGTGGTGTGTGTGTGTGTGTGTGGTGTGTGTGTGTGTTGGTCCTGGGGCTTGAACTTAAGCTGGACACTGTTCCTGAGCTTTTTTGATCCAGGCTAGTGTTCTACCAATTAAGCCACAGCTTCATTCTGGCTTTTTGGTGATTAATTAGAGATAAGAGACTCACAAACTTTCCTGCTTGTGCGGGCTTTGAACTGCCATCCTTAGATCTCAGCCTCCTGAATAGCTAGGATTACAGGTGTGAGCTACTGATGTCTAGCTGACTAAGTTTTTTAAAAGAGGTCTGGAAATAATTTAGTTTAACCACAATAGAGCACAATTCCATTTGTATTTAGGAAAAAGGCCCTAGACCATTAAAAAAGGGTTCACGTTAAGCATTAAAATTTTTTTCCATGAAATTTAAAACAGAGATTGCTCCAATAATATGTGAAATGCAGCAATGTGGAATGTATCATTGAATATTCAATATATGAGATATTTTAAAATAAAACATTACAGTGCCCGAGTGCTCTATTGCCACACTTTTTTACTAGGTTCTTTTTAACCCCATACTGTACACAGAGAGCATTTTTCAGTTTTTTAATCCAATTTTTGTTTCCTGAAGTTATACTTAAATTCCCAAGTATAAGCTCAACCTCTATGAAAGTATATATGGATGTTGCTCTACCTTGATAAAGTTTCTGGAAAGACAGACAAATAAAGTACTTTTTCCTCATTACAACCAATTATTACCAGTTCTGCCAAATGAGGAGAACCCTGTATCTAGATTTTATGCAAATGCTCTAAATTCTTTTGTGGCCCAGAATGGTCCAAATACTGTAAGTTTGCAACTTCTCAAAGTAAAAGAATCAGAATTGGGCTGGGAAGGTGGCTCAGTAGTAGAGCGCTTGCCTTGCGTGCCTGAGACCCTGGTTTGATTCCTCAGCACCACATAAGCAGAAAAAAAAAAGTCAGAAGTGGCGCTGTGGCTCAAGGAGTAGAGTGCTAGCCTTGAGCTGAAGGGCTGAGGGACAGCACCCAGCCCCAGAGTTCAGGCCTCATGACCGGACAAAAAAAAAAAAAAGAAAGAAATCATAATCATGTTTGGGGGAGAACATACAAATCTGAAATGTAAAGTCAGAAAATACAACTTACACCTAACTCAATTCTAAGAATAACTTTATTAATTTACAACACTAAATATTTATTTTACATAATTTGCTGTCCCTCAGTAAATACATTAACAGTATTTTTCACAAATAAAACATTTTGAATTTCCTACACAAGCCTACAATTTCTAAGCTAACTGATATCCTTTCAAAAATTAGACTTCATACATATTTCAAAATCAAGCAACAATTGAAAACTATATGAAAAACATGAGATAATTAATCAAAATGAGAGAGAGAGAGAGAGAGAAAGAGAGAGAGAGAATCCAAAAATAGTCATGAGGATGACCTCACAGCAGCCTCACCTGTACTTTCATGGGCAGTCAAACATTTCATCCATTTCTTTTTCCCCAGAGAAAAGAAGCATTCAGAAGAAAAGCAAGTCAGATGATAGTCTAACGCCTCTAGCTTTTATATGCAACTAATAGGACAAATGTTAGTCAAATAGAGATTTAAAAAATATAGGAAAAAAAATACTTACCTGGACTTGAAGACTCAACAGATGGCTGAGGAGAGGAGAAAAGAGACAAATTAGTATTTCTGTACAGTATATCATCACAAACTTCACAGGAACTATAACGAGTACTATGACAGTAAAAACTATAGGAAGTTTTAATGTCTGAATTACTGAATACAAATTAAAACTTCCCATATCATCATTTCCCTTCCATTATCTTTAAAGACAGAAAAATCTTCAGTGTTCCTGAATCTACAAAGACAATAATATGAATCTGATTCAGATTTTAAAAGAGCTGTGCCTCAAGTGGTACAATGCCAGCATTGAGTGAAAAAGCCAAAAGCCAAGATTGTTTGAATCAAGTCCCAGTTCTGGGGGGAAAAAAAAGAAAAAAGAAAAACTTGGTCTTAAAACATATGGATTAAGAAGTAGAATTTCAGGTTGTGCAGTTTTCTGAAACAGATTTTTCACCGATGAATACTACAAAAGCAAACAACACACAAAAGTTTGCTAACAAGAAAACTGTTAATTGCTTAGATAAATGAGTTATGAAAAGGGAGGCAGAATCAAAAATATTTTAAGCAAAAATTATGTTATGAAAAAGCAAAAGGAAAAATAATTAAAATGTTATTTAAGTGCCAAGTACTATGTTAGCCAAATAACATGGTTTTAAGTCATCAAAGAATTAGCCAACATTCAAGTAAAAGTATAGAGAGGTTATGTTATCTGAGGAAGGTTGCACAGATAACCACTAATTATGTTTCCTTTGCTGTACTACTGTATCTCTTGTAAGTTTGAGCATAAGCAACTAGAAAAGTTAAAGATAAAACTGGTAGCAGCTTATTTTAGTATCAGTGTGATTTTGTTTTATCTTAATTCAGTTAATTTACAATCATAAACAAGCCATCTTCAGTCATAAATTCCTTTCAAAGGAATTAAATAAAAACTGAGAAGATGCTTAAGCCACTAGGCATGGTCCGTGTCCCAGCTACAAAGGAGCCATAAATAGAAAGACTGTATTCTGAAACCAGTCTGGCAACAAACAAATAAGCAAACAAAACAAAGCCCAAAAATCAGCAGGGTACTGGTGGCTCATACTTGTATGCCTAGCTACTCAGGAGGCTGAGTTCTGAGGATTGAAGTTTGAAGCCAGCCAAGGCAGGAAAGTCCGTGAGACTCTCATCTCCAATTAAACGCCAAAAAAGCCATTAGTGGAGCTCCAGTGGTAGAGCACTAGCTTTGAGCACAAAAGCTGAGGAAAGCACCCATACCATGAGTTCAAGCCCCAGGACCAGCCACCCCCCCCAGTTCAAGCCCCAGGACCAGCCACCCCCCTCCACCCCCGCACTCCCCCATGCCCAGCAAACAAAAAATACCAACAAAAATAAAACCCTCAAGACCAGCCACCCCCCCACCCCCCCATGCCCAGCAAACAAAAAATATCAACAAAAATAAAACCCTCAACACCCTACACACACACACACACCCCTCTAAAGCAAAATGGGCTGGTACACACACACACACACACACACACACACACACACACACACACACACACACACACACACTCTCTCTCTCTCTCTCTCTCTCTCTCTCTCTCTCTCTCTCTCTCTCTCTCTCTCTCTCTCTCTAAAGCAAAATGGGCTGGTTCAAATTATGGAGCACTTGCTTACCAAGCATGATGCCTTGAGTTCAAACTCTAATACCACCAGGGAAGAAAAAAGGCAGACTCACCAGCACTAAATAATAAATACCTTACTGATTAACATTTTATTGATAGTTACCACTTTAAATTTATGAAAAAGACTCATTTACTTTCTACTCATTAAGATATCACATGTAAAAGTGGCAGCATTTGCAGTTACAAGCCACACAATAGAACAAAGCCCAAAGCTAAGGAAGATCATACTGGAAGGTTTCAAAGACTATGATCTGACTGAAAGTAAATCTAGATTAGCACAGGGAGAGGAATTAGGGAGGGTGTGCCTGCAGATATATTTAGTATCTATACATTGTAGTATTTGATATCCAAAATAAAATTTAAATGTATCAGTGTACAAGGCAGGAATGAAATTTGTATTCAAGTTAACTATATTCAAATAAATCACAGATGAGTTGCTGGCATTTGATAATAATTCAAACTGTGAATATATTTTGTTGAAATAAAGTGATTATCTTTTTAGGAGAATGTGAGTTTAGTATCACAATATAAGAGGTTTCAGTGCAGAGTGAAGGCAAATTTATTTAGATATAAAAGACAATAGCAAAACTGACTTACATTTATATACCAGTATATGCTTTAAAACACATAAGTTACTTGACAATAACCATAAATCTGCTAACAATACCTACGCCCATGTACTTCTTTTTATAGATTGGTAACCTACGAATATAAAGCCAACAGATCAAGGCAGACCTTAACAATCCCTAACATTTGTCTTCGTAAGACTCCTTTTATACCTTCCAGAGAAACTATTAAGTATTTTTGTCCTCTTCCTTCTTCCTCATTACTCTCTCTTCTGCAATGGTTTATCAGTTTAAAGCATGTTTAAAATATGAGCACAAAATTATCTATGTCTCTTTAGAAACTAGTATCTAAAGAAACAATCACTCTCCAGGGTAACCTGCAACATATGTCTTTTATTACTACAGGGAATCAGAAAGGAAAAGTATAAGGAAAATGAAATAACAAGTAAGCAAGTCTTTATTTAAAATATACTCATAGACTATGGGTAGAAATATGAGTTGTTTCAACCATCCTGGATATCATTTGCCAACTGTCACACTTTAAAGGAGCACAAGTTCTATGTATACCACAATTAAAAAAAAAAAAAAAAAAGAAAAAAATTGGTATCTATCGTTTAACTAGTTAGAAATGATATATAGTTATTCAAAGCAGTGGAACCTACTATAAGTCCATTTAAAAAAAAGACAGAAGTGTTTGGGTTGAAAGGGGGAACTCTAAATTACCCACAAGTAAAAGAAAGTATAGAACATGAAGTAAACTGAGCTAGAATATGCAGTTTTTTTCCTTAGAAAGCTGCATAAGAATCTATTAATAATACTTCTAAGAAATTGGTCAAGAGGGTTTTTTTCATTTTCTATTTTTCTGTACTGTTGGAATTATTCACTTCCACATTTTTACTTACTCTTTTAACAAGAAAGTGTTAATCTTGTTGAATTTTCTTTTATTTCTTTTTCCAGTTTTTAAGAAAGCATACTATTTGATACTATTTATAAACTATAGTTTTGAAAAATTATTGTCTTTTTGATACACATTTATTTTATCTGAGATGGCAAACACAATACTAAACAGATATATATAAAGTGTAATGAGGCTAAATCCACTGAGTTCCACATTCACCAATACATGGACATGTTTCACTGACAAAGTTGCTAGCAGTTATAACAAATACTCAATGCCTCAAAGGCATTCAAGTATTCTTTTTATCAACATAGTGTAACATGTTTCACAAAGGGAAAATCCGGTCATTTGGGAGAGAACTGTCTCAATGTTCCTCTCAAGCCAATTCCATCACCAGTTAATTAACTGTACTGAGCTAACACATCCTTAGGAATGTAGAGGTTAAGTCATATTCACATAGCAATGGAGACAAGTACACAAGTTTAAGAGTTAGGGACACTAATCCACGATGAAAGTAGCAGAAGTACTATGCCAAAAGTTTGCCATTACACTTACTCTTACAAAATTATGTCATTTAAGTCTGTATTACTATTAGGAATACTATTAGTCTTGGGCATGCTTCTTCAAGTTAAAAGGAGCAGACTGACTACAGTAATAATGGAAAATAAAGCAAGACATTCAGAAACCTGAGTTCCAGTCTCAATTGTGCCAGAGATTAATTGTCCAATCTACAACAAACTGCATAACTTTAAACAGTTTCACTTTTCTCTATGATAATACTTTAGAATTTTGAAGTTTAGTTCAATTTCCTTTAAGACCTAAGTTCTCTACTTTTATTATGAATTGCTCCAAGCACAGCTAAATGGACAAGATTGAATATCTATCTGTCTGTTTGTCTGTCCATCCGTCTATCAATTTTTTTGAGGGGAGAGGGTTACTGATTTGAACTCGTGGCTTCTATCAGGCACACTACTACCCCTTGAGCCTCACTTCCAGTTCTGAATTTTTTTTTCTTTAAATTTAGAACTACATGGGAAAGATATCATTTTTTAAGAAGCTGTTTGGTGGTAGTACTTTGTACATTTCTTATCTTCATAAATATAATGGTTATACACGACAGAATAAAGCTCAACAGAGTAGCCTCCAAGCAAGTTTAAGTCACTGCAATGTATTTTGAAACCATGTGGATAAAAAAAAATATGTATATATATATATGGACATGTTTGGAATATCAAGCACAAAATTTCTATATAGCTGTTCACTTTTCAGAAAGACATACTTACACTCAAATGGAAGTATTTTTTAAATTATTTAGGAAGTTAGTTTTTTTACTAGAATGATCTGACAGTAATTTACTTCTTTATTCCTTCCACCAAACCTTCCTCGGCAAGGTTATCAAGTACTTTGACTTTTACTCTTTTTAAGACTTTGATGCAACACTGAAGTTCTTGGCTACCTTGGATAAAACCCTTAATAGCTCTGAAATATAAAATCTAAAAAATTCATTGTCAGTATGGAGATTAATTTAAAGCTTAAATCAACTGCAGTGAAACAAGATTTTGAAAACAAAACAAAAACCACAATCCTACTTCCTTAAAAACTAAAATCCAAGTACATTAATGTTAAGCAAGGAATCTGCTTTTCAGATAGATATGATAGCGAATAAAAACGTTTATGTATCAGTTTTGGAAATAATGTACTTAAAACTAATATACTAAGCTAATCTGTTAAAAATGTTTTCTCTTTATATTACAGAAATGTAGCTCAATGAAAAAGACAGGCCCTGCACTGGTGTATGGCTTTTTGTTTTCCTTAGGAAGTCTCTTACATGTTTACAAACTCTGAAACAAATGACAAATTATTCATTCCCAATGGTATCTACATCACATTCCTTATAAACCCAAAGGATCAACTATTTCTTCTTTCTTTTCCTCTTAAAATGGGATTACCCTATAATTTCCATTCTTTAAGTGTCTCCTTTTAGGAGGGTGGGAAATAATCTTAAGAGATAAACAATGAGCATTAAGGAAATATGCTCTTCTAACATATTAAATGTTTTCAGTGTTATCACAACTGAAGAGCCATTAAATACCGATTTATTAAGAGGATCATATCAAGTAAGAAAAATGTGTATATTTTTTATTACATCGAAAGAAATTTGTATTCTAACATACAAAAGGTCAGTCATTCTTAAGCCGGAAACAACAAAAACCCCAAAAGTATACCTATGTTTGTGTAGAGGCATTCTTTTTCAATAACCTTCAATGTCCCCCTCAGTTTTATCAAGTACGGTGAGTAGTTTTAAACCAAGCATTCTCCTTCATCTATTTTTAAGCTCATCTTAAAAATCACCCCAATTATTACAGTATTGACATAAGGAAAAATTATTAATTTTAATTTTCACTTTACTGGACATCTTGCCTTCAAGAGTATAGAAATTAAAGTTCAAGCCATTATGAGCAGCACAATATATAGAACATATATGGTACCATATTTTATGTACATATATATACGTATATGTGTATATATAGCACACTGCTGTTTATCTAATGAGTATTCACTGAAAGGGGGTCTACTGAAAACTAATTGTAAATCCAGTTTACTAAAGGTAAATCCAGTTACATAATACTCCTTTCCCTTATGTAGGAAGAAAAGTAATACAAGAATAAGATTCTCACAAGAAAAGTCTCAGAATACTGAAGTGTTTGGTCGTAGTGAAGCCAAATGTTACTGCTAACTTTCTGCCTTGAAATACAATTATTTAACCTTAAAAAACTTGAAGAAACAAAATAAATCTAAGAAAATTTAGCTGCAAATCAGAAACGTTAAATATTTTAAAATGCATACTGGCAGCAAACATTCCAGCTACACTAAAATCTTTTCCTACTTGAATAGTAAATTCACCAGGACACAAATACAAAGCCAGTTGCCTTAAAAGAAGCAGAAATAACATACTAACAGCGATTCTAGAAAACCTTTACAAGTCTCTCCATTTGGCCTCCATTATCTAACCATGTTTCTGTATTTATTCCAGGGTTTAAAAATGATATTACGGTATCGAAAAAAAGTATCCACCACTGACTTCACTTAGCAAATAAAGGAGTTGAAAACGAGAGGGAACCGGGGTATTAAATAAAATATACTTCCTGAATCGACTTTTAGGTTTTATTGGAATCATGAAATCACGGAGTCGTGGAGTCTACAAAAGTACTGCCTTATGAACACAACATTTAAGAGTGGCTTATCTCAAAGGAGACAGAACATTCCAAATATATCATTTCAGACTTCAGAAATAAAGAATAACGAAATTCTTTCACAGACAAGAAAACTGGTAAACAAACTCCACGAAGCTGACGGTCAAAGGCTTAAACCAGAAGCAAAACCGAAATTTCCAATTACATGTACTAAGTTCTACTTAATCATAGACCAACAGTGGTTGTTTGCCCACCCAATTTTGAGGGCCATACATACACAAGATCTGCCGTAGGGGCTTTGGGAACTTGTTGGGGGGGGGGGGGGTGAGCGGGCAGGGCTGGGGACTGTGGCCCAGGGGCAGTGATTGCCTAACGTGAGCAGGACCCTTGGGTTTCATACCAAGATCACACCGAAAAAGGAAGAAAACGAGTGAAGAAAACCCACGAAATGCTTCCTTCAAGAAAAGGAAAATGTAAGATAGTGACATAGGAAGCAGCGTTAATTTGGGAGAGAGAGAGAAAGAGAAAGGTGGGTCGGGGGCGTGGGCAGGGGTGGCTCGGGTCTGGGAGGCAGAGCGGGACGGCTGGAAGCCCGCTCGGAGGGCTGGGAGGGCCGGGCGGCGGCTCCGGAGGGGGCTCCGGCCGGGCAGCCTCAGGTGCTCCCCGGCGGACGCGGTGTCGGCGGCGCACGGGTGGGGTGACGCCGAAGGGCGCAACAGCATCCCGGCCGGGGAAGGAAGAAACTTCGCGGGCAGAGCGCTGGGTCCTCCCTCGGCCCCGACCACCGCCCGGCAAAGTTGCGCCACAGAGAGCGAGCGTCCACCGCCCCCCCCCACGCTCCCCGTGACTACGCAGCACCCAGCCCTTCAAAGTGCCCCCCAACTCCAACTACGCCTCCGCTGCCTCCGGACCTGGACCGGTCCCAACTAAGTTCCGAGCAAAGCTCCCGCCTGAGCACGGCCGGGCGGACAACAGGTGGGCAGCGGCGCCGGCAGGGCCGGGCCTCTCCTGGCCAGGCCCACTCCACTCCTCCCCGGCCAGGGCCCGGGGGCGCCCGGCTCCGGGACGGGGAGGGGGAGCTCGCTCCCTTACCTCCGCCATGTTTGCCGTACTGCCGGGTCACATCTCCGCGGCGGCCGCGGCTGGGTCACGGCCAGAACCCGGATGTGAGAGTCGGCAGCGGGACTCCAGCCACCGCTGTCTCTGCCGCTCCCGCCGCCTCAGCGGGAACGCGCAGGAGCCGCCCGAGCGCGCGCCCGCCACACCCCACTCCGCCCCCTCGCGGAACCCCGGCTAGGATGCAATGGAGGGAAAAGGCCGGCGAGGACGCGCAGAAGCGGACGCACGCGGGCCCGCAGAAAGGCGGAGCCAAGGTGGGTGTGGGGAAGGGGGCTCCTGGGCTCAGCGCCCCGGCCCACGAAGCCCCGGGAGGGGGAGCTCGAGCTCCAGGAGGCCTGTGGGGAGCAGCGAGGTCAAGGGAGGGGGGGGGGGGGGGAAGCCTCATCCTGCATTTAACAGCAAGGGGAAAAACACGATCTATTTTACAAGCCAGTGGTTTTTGAAGTGCATTTGCTGGAAACGGATGTTGCCCGGCCCCGACGGCCGCGAGAACTGCGCTTTGAAAGCGGTTATCCCTGGACAGATTGCAATTCTCGGTGGGAAATATAAAATCCCATATCCCCAAACCTTGGCCGCAGCAAAGATTAAGAAAAGGGTCTGCTGGGGAGTCTACCATCCCCAGATCTCACTTTGTGATGCCAGTAGCAGCATCATTGTGCACGGCTTCAATTTTTTTTCACAATCAGACAAAACGATTTAAAAAAAAACAAACCACCTGCTTTAAATGGGTATAAATAACTCCAACTTGACTTGCATGGAGGGATAACTTCCTTCTTCGTAATGCCTAAAATGCCTGCAAGAGTCTGTTTTAATGTATTACCTTAAGAGTTGCCAATTGGCTCTGGCTGATGAATGCCAGGGCCAATGACTTCAAAGTAACAAGCAGACTTCATTCCTATTTACTATGGTAGAAGCTAATACAAAGGAAATATTAAAACCACCAGGGAGGTATTTTACTAAGCCAAAAGTTTAGAAGTCTTATTTTTAAAAGACCAGTTTTGCGCCCTCGAATCCTGAATTATTATTCTTAATGAAGTTTTAAAAATGATTACTAAAGTCAAACATCTGGGTGATATTCATTCCCTCTAAATAACATACCAATGTTAAAATACATGGCATAAACGTGTACATACAGTTTTTCTTAAAGTTCATAATTATAGTGCAATATTGAGGAATGCTATTTTCTTCAATTTCTATTCCCTTAGAATTCTAGACTCTATCAAGCATTTTCCTATTTCCAAAAAAGCCAACATTAACTTAAAACTCATGCTCAATAATAATTTGAGTATGAATAAACTGCATTTACAGGCACATGAAGTAGCTGCTAAGTGAAAGGACATTACCTGGTAATTTGACAGGAAAAGAGTCCCCAGACAGTCTGTAAACCAATTAAACATAAACATCTGATGCACATTTTCTACTGAAAGAAAAGCAAGGGAAAGAAGAGAAAGGAAAACTTTAAGGTACCCAAGTCTACAAACAATGTTTACCACAACTGTACTGTATAGTATTTTCATTTTATTTTAAGTGTTGTTTCTTTCTCTTTCTCTCTTTTTTTTTGTGCCAGTCCTAGAGCTTCAACTCAGGGCCTGGGCACTATCCTTGAGCCTGTCTGTGTTCAAGGCTAGCACTCTACCACTTGAGCCACAGCACCACTTTCAGCCCTTTCTGTTTATGTGGTACTGAGGAATCGAACCCAGGGCTTCATGCATACTAGGCAAGCACTATACCACTAAGCCACATTCCCAGCCCTTTAAGTGTTTTTTTTAAAAGGATTTTTTGAGGGAATAAATATTTTAGCACATGTATAGAATTTCTAAGAGTTACCCTGTGAATTATGTTAGTACTTTTGACTTGAAATAAAGTAACTTTTCACTTGACACATTTAAGAGCTGAAGCCAAAGAAGAAGAATGTGATTGGACCTGATGTGGATATAGACAAAATCCCTAAGAGCTCAGAAGTAGAAAGGAAGGCTTCATGCCAGGGGAATGAAGTAAGATCGCCCACTAAAGTAAGTTTGTATGGAACTGAGCCAGCTACCAATGGGAAAACTAAGAGTTGTTGAAATATAAAGTATAAGAATAACTTGGTTAGGTCCAGTCAGTCTTTGATTCTTCACTTAAACAATCAACACAAATCCCAACTGGAATAAAGAGCAGATCAGGTCCCTTAAACTACTGAATCTTGAAAAGTAGAAAATCCAGTCAGAACCATTTTTGAGTGGGTAATTATCTTACTATTAAGTAGCATTCAAATTTATTAATATTATGATCAATGTTACTAACTTTAAATGGTAGCATTGTTTAGGGGGTAAAAATCCTATTTTTCTTCCTCTTTTTTTAGAAAATAGACATGGCTTCTGGAGTTTTTTTTAGGCAAGAAGCAGCAGCTCTAATACTGTAAGGCACAGGTAACACATTACTAAGGAATTTAGAATACTTTCATTTTATACTACTGATACACCTATCTTTAAATTTTTCAGGAGCCATCATAATTTAAACGAAGTCTTTCTTAAAAAACTCTTAGGTATCAAATGTGTAAAAAGCAGTGACTGGTCATAGAATCCTAGTTTTAGATGGGCCTTTAATCAGTTTTACCCAGTGCAGTTAGGAATCCTTCAGAATGCTTCGGCTACTAGCCTTTTTCTCCCTTTGTTAAATGCCTCCAATGACTTACTAAAACTCTTATTAAAGAAGCTTGCCTTTTTACTAAAACAGTTCTAATGTTTGGAACAGTGATTCTTTTAGTAGGCTAGAATCTACCTCCTTGTTACTTTCATCCTTTACCCTCAGTTCCTTCAGCACTTTGTATTAACTGAACAGAAATCTTTATTGAAACACAATCTGGGTTATACTTGCATTACAAAAAAAAATATCTTTTTACAGGACATGATAGAGCTAAAGGCATTGAACAGTTCATTAATTATGATCTGTTCAGTACTATTACTTCTTCTGTTATTTATTAATCCAAAATAGTAGCTTTTTAAAAATTATGTAGTAAAATGTTTAAGGTTAAGTTAAAAAGTATGGTAAATACCAATTTTATATGAGGTTGGTGGGTTTATGTCCCAATATAAAAAAAACACATTATAAAAAGACTGAATAAATGCCTCATCTCTTGTCCCCATTTCTAAATGCCTCCTTGTAGAAATGGCTCAAATGGTAGAGAGCCAGCATTGAGCAAAAATGCCAAATAAGAGCCTGAGGCCCCGAGTTCAAGACCCAGTACATATACAAGCAAATAAAAACTAACGGCATCCTTGCTTTCAAGCAAACCAAAACTAATTTTTACCACATGAAGCTACTCAGAACTGCTATTATATTGGGAATTTGCTGGATCAATTTACTGAATCCTACATTCAAAATGATTAAATGATTTTCATAGCAGCTATAAAGCACATACACATAGATCCCTCATATTTCATTTTGCTTTTCATGTCACTATTTTCCTTTAGTCAGTACCTTAAACTAGCCAGTAAATAAACTTGACAGTTTACATATGTCTAATAAATGTGACATTTTATTCAGTATCAACAATTCAATCACTATATATATATTTGTACCATATAAACATATCTGTTTATGCAACTGAAAGTTATTTACAAAATACATCATAAAAATGTTTTTAACAATTTTAACTGTGGGTCTGATTGACTGAAATAGGTGAACATAAGTAAAGCATTAAAAATGAGGTTTAAATCTAATAATTTTCGGGGTCCATAGCTCCTTTTTTGAAATTATTTTGTAAACTCCTAAAATTTGTATCTAAAAGTGCAGCCCCACACGGGATCTTCAAGATATAGAGGTAAAAATTAGTCTTGATGAAAATGTTTATATACTTAAAAAAAAAAAACACACCATATTTTTAAGGCCATTTTAGCCAAAGTGAGTTTTCCTTTAGTAGACAGAATGCAGGTTTCAATAATGCATTACATTTGGGAACCTGGCATTTACACCTGCATCTACAATAATACACATCATCTTTATGTTAAACAAACTTTTTTTTATTAATGTCAGCCTAAAATACTTATATAGCCTTTTGGTTCTTCAAAGAGAAGTTCTGGGTTTTCACTTTATAATTTTTACAGTTTTATCCAGGGCTCCACTTCATCAGTATATTACAAACTGATATGTTTATAGTTCATACATTGTTAATGTTATCTTTGTATCACCACATTCTGGGAATTATTGACCCATTAACTGTTCTCCAACATTGGAACATACAGAATAATAATATGATTTTTATATCATTTGAGGGAATTTGAATTTTCCCTCCCTTAATCTCCAAGTGTGCCCCTGCCTACCAGCATCACATCCGTCTTGTCTGCATTGAATCTCAACCAGTTGGATCTTAACCACGTCCGAAACTCAGCCAGGCACTGGGAGAATCGAGCCACCACACCATCTGGATTAAAGGAGAGAAAGCCTCAGTAGCAAAAAGACAAACCATCGTATCACAAGCTCACATTCACCCTGTCTTATATTTTTTTTTAAAGATGGCTTGTACTGTTACTAAACGCATATTATTTTTTAAAGAAGGCTTGGAACTAGGTCAAGGACCCCAAGGCAATTTTTAAAAAAATATTAATGAACCTTGAGCCACGCAATTTGTCGCCAATGGTAAAGGAATAAAAGCAACCCAATCCACATGTTGCTGCATGTCAACCGTGAGTGAAGCAAGAGGGCTCTAAGCTCAAGTGGCCTGAGTAGCTAGGCCGGTCATATATAACTCTTCTGCAAAATCACACAATTTTAGCATTGGAGGAAGTTTTAAACAGGGAGAACTGAAGCCCAAGGAGGGGTAGGTGACTCGCCCAAGGTCATACGGGTTGGCAAGGACCGCAGATGGGCTGCAGTCCAGGCTTGTCTCCCGTGCCAAGCTAAAAGGACAAGGCTCCTCAAAGGCGGGAGGGACATGATGGGAGGAGCTCGATCCCTCACAGCAAAGCCCTCTTCGATCGTCTCGCTTCGTTCCCTCCCGTTCAGAGGGCAGACAGGCCCAGGATCCCGCTGCCTCGGTGCAAACGGGAACCTCCCCGCAAGGCTGGACCACAACTAGAGGAAATACAAGGGAAAAGAGGTGGAGTCACCGGGGACTTGTCACTTAAGACACACCCCGGGCCGGGGTCCAGAGTCCACAGGAGAGAGGGGCGGAAGCGAACGGGGCGAGGCGAACTCACTCCGCAGCGGATTTTCAGCCCGCAGCGGACGGCCAGGGAAATCCGCGCTGCCGCTGCTGCTGCTGCTGCTGCTGCTACCACCGCCGCCGCCACCGTCACCGCAAAGGCAAAAAGACCCGGCTGCAGCCCCGAGGCGACGGCGGGAAGCTGCGCATGCGCCCCACGGCAGCAGACGCCCCCCCCCCCCCCACCCCACACTCCCTCAGCGCGGCCCGCCAGGCAAGCGCGTTCTCCGGAAGCCCCGCCCCGGAAGTACAAGGTCTTCCGGGAGGCGCTCTGAGGTGGGGGGAGGGGAGGGAGAGAAAGGGGACTGAGGACACCTCCGGAGCCCCTCACCCCAAACGCGAGTAGGAGCGGGGAGATGGGTTGTGGAGGCTGCACTTACAGCCGCCGCCGCCGCCGCCTCCTTCGCTGCTCCCGCCACCGCCTGAAGAAGCCCCATCCATCCGCCCGCAGCCGGGAGACTCAGAGCCTGGGAGGGGCCTGGGGCCCGGGCCGCCCGCCTCCGCCTTCTCGTCGTCGTCCGGAGCGTCCTCCGGCTCCACCAACCCTCTGCCCTCCCCTCCGCCTCCGCCCTCCTCCCCGGCCTCGAGCCGCCAGCCAACCGCGCGGCCGCTTGTTGAACCGGGCCTCCCCGGTCTCCATGGCGCCCGGCAAACATTCCCGGGCGTCCGCCTCAGCCGCTGGCCTCGCCGCCGGCGGGGCTGGGACTCGCGGAACGGCTCGGAAAGGGGGCGTCCGGCCGCCCCCCAGCCCTCGGCCACCATGCACAGCTCTTCGACCGACAGCCGCAAGCAAGCAAATCCCACGTTGTAAGTTCCGGCGCCGAAACTAGTCATCTGGCGTGGGGCCCGGAGGGAGCCTGCTAGGTCCTTCCCGTGGATTTGGAAAGGGATTGCCTCACTACCTCGTCTGGGTTCCGAGGGCAGCCTTCCAAAGCTCCCGGGCGCACGGCTCTTTCGTGGTCTTAGAGCCCTTCTTCAAGCCCTACTGCCGTTGCCCTAGCAAAACCCCGGTTTGTTTGGGGCTACCCTTCCTCTTTTCTTCGCCCAGTCTGCAGTCTTCGGACTTGATTTTCCAGTCTGTCTGTGCTGGATGCCAGGTGCCCCAGACTGCAGACCGAACGTTTGGGTAGCCGAGGGTTTTTCTGCCCTCTCCGCGATACCTCTCCACCGTAAAATGCTTTCCTCCTTAAAGCATTCCACGAGCCCAGGGAAAAAAATCGTAACAGCTGTGCGGACTTGACTGTTCCTTGGGGCTGCTCACTTAAAGTTTCCCACACCTCCAAGTCGCTTTTGTTCCCTTCAGACACTCAACGTGTTTTCTACAGGCTCTTCCTGCTCAATTAAGGACGTGAAGAAAACCTCACATTCACAGTCACAAACACTTTTTTGTTGTTGTTGTTTTGTTTTTTGATGGGAAAACCTTTTTCTCTGCCCACACCCGTAATCCTAGCTACTCAAAGATCTGAAGTTCCAAGTCAGATATTAAGACTGTCATCGCTAATTAGTCACCTAAAAGCCAAAAGTGGAGCCAGGGCTCCAGTGGTAGACCCTTAAGCAAAAAAGTTAAGGCGCTGACTTCGAACCCCAATATTAGCACCAAATTAAAAGGATTTGTGAAAGTCAATTAAGAGCAAATAATCAAATACAGTTAGAGCTTTTGTTCTTAACTGACTCCACAAACAGCTTTGATCTACGTGATCACTTCTTGACTTATCAATACTTCCTTTGGACATGGGACACCACTTATCCCTAGATCTTCCCTCGGTTCAGGGCTACTTCTTTTCAGAATATTTTATAGATACCTATTCATCTCTCCCATGAATACGTATCAAGGATTGTGTGGTCTTAAAACGTTATCACTTTGTGCCTTTAAAAGTCTTGCATTCTTGTGATTCATAAGGTGGTTTTGTTTTGTTTTTGTCGGTCGTGGGGCTTGAACTCTGGGCCTGGGTGCTGTCCCTCAGCTCTTCAGCAAAAGACAAGAGCTCTACCACTTGAGCCACAGGGCCACATCTGGTTTTCTGGTGGTTAATTTGAGATAAGAGTCTCACGGAGGGCTGGGAAGGTGGCTCAGTGGTAGAGCGCTTGCCTTGCATGCTCAAAGCCCTGGGTTTGATTCCTCAGCACCACATAAGCAAAAAAGAAAAAAGCCAGAAGTGGCGCTGTGGCTCAAGTGGTAGAGCGCTAGCCTTGAGCTGAAGAGCTGAGGGACAGCGCCCAGCCCCAGAGTTCAGGCCCCATGACCGGACCCTCCCCCCCCCCAAAAAAAAAAAAAGTCTCACGGATTTTTCTGCCCGGTCTGGCTATCCTCCGATTCCAGCCTTCTGAGTATCTAGGATTACAGGCGTGAGCCACGGGCTCCCATCGGATTCATAAGTTTTTAACTCCAGTAAAGACCTCGCCCAAGGAAACACTTAAAATATTTGTAACATCTACATTAAGAAGTTAATATGCATCTCAAAATTATATCTTAAATGGAATTTAAGATACCTCTTATCTCACTGCGGAAATTTCAAGTAGAAATTAAGTAACTGTCCTATTGTGTAGCTGCCTGCTCTCCTTGTCAGCACCTTCAGTACAGTAATTAGTACAGCTTTTCTGCTCAAAACCTTGAAGTTTGCCCCATTTCTCTTGGCATAAATGCTCACATTTTTACAGGCTCCAACAGGATCTGGGTTTTGGACTCTTCACCTGAGGTAATGACACTCTATAGGGGTTATTCCAAATCACAATTACACGCTTCCCATTTCTGGCTCAGAGCATTTCTTGTTTGTACCCCAGATAATCTTATGAGATAAATTTTCTAATGTCACTGTATATAGAACAATACTTTCTCCTCACTTTTCAATCTTGTACTCTTTTTTTGTTTGTTTCTGTAGGATTTATCTACACTGGTATTATGTACCTATGTATTATAGGACAGAGATTTTTGTTCTATTCACTACTGTATGTACTGCCTATAATAAAGAATATGCTTAATATTTGTTGGCTGAACAAAGTAATGAATGAGGATGTACCTCAGATACTATTGTCTGTTTTGTTTTTTTTTTTTAAGTGGAAATTCCGAGATGGAACAATTCATGTGAATTGAAACAGACAATCCACAGTAGCTGAGTGCTGTTAAAAAGTTCCTTCGGGAATTTTTTAAATGCCATTCATTTAGGTTTACTATTAAGGCAAAGATATAGTGGGAAATGGGAAGTAGTATAACTTTTACTTTTTGAGGTAGGTATATTATCGAAAAGTTTCAAACACTAAATTTTGCAACAGATTGAATTGACTTAAGGATCTTCCCTTCATTCTTCTCTTAACAGTTTATTCCTCATCTTGTAAAAGATCTTGAAATTTTTGTCAACTTAATATGTTTATTTCAGTTCTTCCTATTAGATTCTTTCCATTGGCTTCACAATGTAAGACAAAGCTATTATGGTGAAAGTCACTAATTCATTTTGTCACACCTTTCTCTTCCCAGATTCTTTATTCTAAGTCCTTACCTGTTCTTTTTTCCTTTTTCTTTTCCATATATTTACCTATCTTTGCATATTATCCACTTGTTCTACTAGAGTTTCCAGCATATTAACTAAACCTATTTCATACTAATGGTCTGAAAACTGCAAACTTTGTGCCTTATCTGAGTATGATTCTATTGCTTGTTTTCTCTCTTCATACTGCTTTGTTGACTTTTAATTTTTTGTTGAAAATACAACATTGTATGAGCTTTTGGTGGATTTTTGTGTTTGTGTGGCTAGGAATTAGGCTATATTTACTTTTTGCCATAGGTATGTCTAAGGTTTCAATTTCCTCAAATGTCTTTTTTGTTGTTGTCTCTTTTTTCGTTTCCCTTGGAGACTCCTTCTTAAATAAGAGACTGACCTTGCAGTTCTTTCAGTTATAATTCCTTTTTATGCAGGAGCTTTGCAGATGTGGCAATAAGGTGCAGGAAGGAGGGATTCATTCCATAAAATAACGAGGTCTCTTTTTAGTGGGCCTTTATCCTTATCCTTGAGATGTGACTTTTACAAGTGTTCTTAACATTTTTTTTTTTAAGTAGGAAAGGATGGCTAATTGGGTTAGTTACTTCCTTTCACCATGTCAGATGTTGGCAAAGGTTGATTAGGCACTAATAAAATAGTATTCCTTGGGTATAGACGTTTAGTATGGAAAACAGAATGTTCTAGGTATATTTGAGAATTATTGTTTTCCATCTACCTTCTAGACTCCTGAGCAATTTTTCTTTGATTTTCATCCTGAAAACCTGGTAGGTGTCTAGAGATAAAATGGAAAATGTGGAAGTATCCTAAGGCTGAGGGTCTAGAATCTTTTGTTTCTCAAGCTAGCCCGCACTCTACAGATTAGTCATTTAGTTTTTAAGTTTTCTGATCTCTTTGTGGCTCATGTGGTAGTTTCTGCTCCCTGTAAGCTCCCTGTAAGATTTTTCCTTTTTTCATAAATCTTTCCAGTGTCAGTAGTTGCTTACCTTGGGATGTGATAATTTCCACTTTATTTAGCCTTTTGTGAGAACAATAATAATGATTTTTAAAGTCTTTTCATAATGAATGGGCAGTAGAAAGAAGTCTGTTAATTTCTTTTATAATCTCTTCTCGTCATTGCTTCATTACCTAATGTGGAAGCTACTCATGGATGTGTAATTGTAATAAAGGTTTCAAAAGTGACATATTCTGTGTGCTTTCTTTTATGTTTGAATTTTGTGAAATGGCTCATCTGTTTGTTTCCTCTTCCTTTCTGCCTCCAATTTCTCTCCTTGACCCTATTACTTTCTTTTTATTTCTTTAGATTTTTTTATTGTAGGACTGAGTTCTTTATCTCCATGGTAAAATTTCACATCTTAAATTTCGGAAGCTGAAATTTATTCTTGCTTTTTCAGCTCCCAAACACATAGCTCTACCAAGATATCATTTGCTGATGTCTAAAATGGAATGTGTCTAGAATTTTTTTCCTTTTCTTTAGAAGGAAAATGTAACTATCATTCTAATGCTGTGAGGGGAAGGCAGTATGATTAACTTCCATTTCCAGTGAAAGAAAGAAACATTAAAAAAGTTGCCCAAGGATGCATATAGCCTATGAGTTACTGGATAAACTGGGGCATTTCAATTGGCCATGTTTAACTTCCCTTACACTCATGTTTAATGAGCCACTTAAACATGGTTATTATATTTCTCACATGCTACAATAAGAATTAGACTAAAGACATGGCTCAATTGGTAGAGCCAGCCAAGCAAGCTAGTTGGGTATATGTTCAGACCATAGTACTAACAAAAATACCAGTACAATGATAAATAGATTGTAGATATATATTTTTCAATTAAAATTATTTTGTAAAGATGATGTACGTAAGGGTTATAGTTATGTAAGCCAGGTAATGAGTACATTTCTTTTTTGATGTTCACTCATGCTGGGTGCTGGAGGCTCACGCCTGTAATCCTAGCTACTTAGGATACTGAGATCTGAGGACCCTGATTCAAAGCCAGCCTGGGCAGGAAAGTCAGGAAAGCACCAAAACCAGAATTGGAGCTGTGGCTCAAGTGGTAGAGTCCTAGCCTTGAGTACAAAAGCTCAGGGACTGTGCCCAGCCCTGAGTTCCAGCCCCAGGGCAGGCCTCCAAAATAAATGTACACCTAAGCAACTAAAGAATAGTTTCCTTTAATGAAATTGGAAGAACCACAGGAGAAGTGGAGAAGTGGATTTATTGCACAGGCTTAGGTGGTGGCAAAAATAGCAGGAGCTTGTCCTTGGACATGGAAGTTTCAAACATGTCCAGTAAGCAGATGTATATGAGTCTTTCAAAAGAAAGATTGAGTTATAGATACATGATAATTTTATATCAATGTAGATAAAGGAAAAGGCCAAGGATGAATATTACAGAAAATTTAAGAAGAAAGCCACATAAAGAGAATGTTCTGCAATCCAAGT